AAAACATTTTTCCAGCATGTTCTAGAGATTAATATGAGTACATACTCATATTTTGGAACAATTTCCAAGGACAAACTGACTATAAAGATCTGTATAAATTTCCATCATAGAAAATGCAATTCACCTGCCTGCAAAAAGGTTAATCCACTTGGAACGTTTTCCGTGGTTGTGGTCATTCATTCCACATCGAATGCATCCGCGATCAACATCAGCGATTGCCCAGTTTGTCAAGCAACAACGTTGGCAAATGTTGAAGCTCTTGGAAGGCCTTGGAAAGACAGCAAATATTAACGCTGTTTGCCTCGGCGACTCGCTTTAGAGAGGACGAAAGCGACGAAGAAATTGAGGCAGCCGATGACGATGAACCAGAAGACGAACAGAACGAAACCCTCGTGAACAGTTTGTTAGCAAAAATAAGCATTTCGCGAAGGTCTGACAATCGCCATTTTGCCAACCGGATATGTTCAGTAATAAGTGTGTATGAGTCATGCGATACTGTCCTGGATCGTTGTGACGCATTTCCGATGCGAGATGAGATGATATAGGTAATATTTAAAAATATTTCGGCTGTGGTGTGGGGAAAATAAGTTTAAACTTCCAAATCTACCAATTTTTTTATGTGTGTGTTAAGATAGTGCAAGTGAGAGTATGCTATTTTACGCGCGTTAAAACACTGTTATTCAAACATAAATATTTCGCGTTCTAGATCGAATTAAAAAAAACAACCCGAGGAAATTAAAGAAGAAAGCATGCTTTATCAGAATTTCTCAGTTTTGGAGTAAAAAGTTTAATATCAAATGTCACGAGGGGCGTAGAACAAGGTGTTATTTTCTCACTCCTTTTGTTTATATGTTTCGAATTTCAGGCATTCTGATTGGTCAAGGACGTAAAATGTAAACAAACGCGCTGATTGGCTAACATTATTTACCCTTGTCGCACTACCAAATGTCCAGTGGACATATTCCTGTCCATTGGATCCAATGGATAAATCAAATGTCCACTGGACATATCTATGACCATTGGATCCTTATGCCTGTCCATTGGATCCAATGGACAAATCAAATGTCCACTGGACATTTCAATATGTCCATTGGACATGTTGCAGAGGTATTGGACATTAATCGAGTCCACCACTTAAATTTCCTTGTTGAAAGGCCCTACATTACATGCAGTGCATGCATGTGTCCCAATAAAATAAATGGAACAATTTAAAGTATTGAATTCCGTAAATAGATATATTTTTCTATATTCAACGAAAAATCAGTGATTAATAATTGAAAGGTCGTAAGATATAAATCATGTGATCTCTATTGTATATATTCTTGTCGCGAAAAAGATCTTTGGAAAATTAAGCTTGTAAGTCGTACTGACGGAGCAATTTGGGCTGTTTCAATGCCGGGTGGCAATATTTATATATATATATATATATATATATATATATATATATATATATATATATATATATATATATATATATATATATATATATATATTTTCGTTTTACCTCAAAAACCACAACAGTCAGTTTCATCCGTATAGGAATGATGATCATCCGTATAGGATGATTCCTATACGGATGAAACAGACTGTTGTGGTTTTTTGAGGTAAAACGAAAAATACTATATTATTTCGTAAACCAAAATCTTAAGCTATATATATATATATATATATATATATATATATATATATATATATATATATATATATATATATATATATATATATAAGGCGATAATTTATTCGAAGCAATGAGTACGCATATTACTGCTTTGCACTGTAGCCTATCTGTTTTAAACTCGAAAGTGAATATCACTATAGTCTGATCTGTTTGCTACTGATGGCGTAGCTACATATGCAGACCTTCATTTTTTTTTGGTGGAGGGGGAAGGGGCGAAGCGAACGCAGAAAGCGTGTGAGTAGCTAGTGGGGTACGGGGCGGGGCATACACCACCAGAAATATTTTTAAATCTAGTGTCCCTGAATGCGATTTCAATTAAGCATTTTTGGGATGAAATCTTGCAGAATTCCGAAGATCGAAGACATGAATTTTCCCGGACTATTCGTCTCGGAATTAAATAAATTGGAAATATCACCATGAAAATCAGGAGGAGGGGGCAGTGTCTTTCCCCTCTGTGATGCTTGGGGGGGGGGGGGAAGAAAATCCCAATGTGATTTTGATCAGAAACGTTGCATGTAATTAAATAATTCTAGGTTCTATGAGACAACATTTCTGCATTCTCGAAATTGCGTTTCAAGACGTACTTAGTCAGTTTCAGTTTCGAGCATGTAATGTGTACCCCCTGCCTCCAATTTCTCTACAGATTTAGCCTTTTTGAGAAAATGGTTTTCAGTGTGGCGATTGGAGGGGTGGGGGGGGGGGGCGGTCGCCCCCTCGCCTATACGCCAATGTATGTTTGCCACCACCATATTACTTTGATTACATCGTGCCTGTGGATTGTGGAAATATGATTGTATAACATATACTTTATCATTTCGGACTTGAACTCGGACTTAGACTCGAAATATTTAGGACTCGGACTTCAAAAGTTTGGACTTGAAATTTTGCTGGGGACTCGGACTCGTACTCGGACTTGAATGTATAGGACTCGGACTTGGACTCGTAAGTTGTGGTCTCGACTACAACACTGCTATGGATGTTCTCAAAAATGGATGTCCTCAATAGGGGCCGGGGTTTGGTTTAAAAAAATTATGCAATGTTGAATATACCGCAAGTATATATGGATGAACTTTCATATTTTAATCAATAATTCGTATCAGTGTAAGCGACTAAATCAGCACACAGATCTTAATACCTATCAAGAAGAAAATATTCAAATTTGAGCTCGACAAGTTGATACAAATATGGAATATAAATGAAACAGAGTACACTGTTTCAATTGCAAATTTATACTAACAGTCAGGGAGGCGAATAAAGAGTAAATATAGAAATATCAAATTTATAAATAACTTGTGGTGGTTACTCAGTTAGCTTGGTGAGATGCCATGGAAAAATGCGTCGAAAAACTCGGGAAATTTTGAAGCCATTTCCGCGTAATGGCGACGACGAGAAATCATGGAAAATCAAGTCGTCGTAGCGAGGAGGTAAAACGCAAGTTCATCAAACAATATGCAAACTCGGCAAAAAAAGTAACTTTTCTTCCGGGTGGTCGTCATGACGGGGTTTGGTTAAGGTCGATATTATCAAGGCTACGAAGGGCTATTAATAGGCTTGTCATCAACAGCCCGCAGCGGCTGTTAATAGGCCATGTTGTCAGAAGCCTGCACATAAACTACAAAATACATGCATGCAGAAACCCTCGCCTTTCTGACAAAACCATTTTGTTTTCCGAACATGAAGTATTGAAAGTACATGTAGTTGTCATGATAACACGAAAATATTATTTAGGATTGTTTTAAAATTGAAAAACATCCCGAAAATATTACTTTTAATTACTAAATGATAATTTCCCAAACGTATATATGTAGGTATGTTATTATACGTAATATAAGCATCAATTTGATGTAAAATTCAACCACAAAAGCTTCGAAAAACGTTTTAAAATGTTCTTAAAACTAAACTGCCTTTTTAATATCGGTTAACATTGCATGAGTTTGAAATAAACTGAATTCAAATTCTCGCATGAAAACACTGAATTATATGCTGTCTTTTTTATATACGCGACGATCGTACCTGTTTTTAAAGCAATTATAAAGCAAACAATACATCAATATTGAAAACAAACTTACCTTCATTAACGGCTTCAGAAAAAGGTTTTGGAATTTGCAATATCTTTCAAAAATACAATATATTTCAGCAAAAAAGTTTCTTATTTCGCTGTCGTTATGCAGTCGTTTTTATGCAAATTTCAAATTTTCCAATCACTGTTCGCTATTTACGACAGTCCGCTACATATTTTGAGATCAGTGAGGATAACCACCCTTGAACGGTGAACCATAGCCATGCGCTCGCGATATTTGATGAACTTTAGACTGCGCTAGTGCGTTCCTTTTCTCGGGTGTAAATAGCCGGGCGGAATTAGTAGCCTCGCCACGGGCTTACTCAGGTTTGGCTCGGGGATTAATATAATATTTTGAACCGCAGGAAATCTGACAACTTAAGAAATAATTTCCAGTTATGTATTAAATATTACTAGCAAGTTGTTGTCGGTTGGCAGTTGTCAATGAAGCAAAACAGAAACATGTAGGGATCAAACGAAACCGGCCTATTTTCTGAAATGTGATTCATAAATGCTTTTTCCCAAAATTCAACGTTTGTCCGATTCTGCAAGCATTCACATTTTAATGTAGCCTATATACGCCTTTGTGTGGGTTTACTTCCCAACAGTTAAAAGACAAGTCTTGTAAGTGAGAAATATATTGTATTATCAAAGAATATCGACAGTATTGGATGCGATATGAGCTAGTCCTCAGTACGATCACCCATGGCGGAATAAGTACACTACTGCTTCATTTTAGATGTATTTGTCAACTAAGCTTATTGTGGAAGAAGCACTGTCACTATCTCTTTCTTATTAGACGACAAAATTAATATAAAAATGATTGTTTACATTCACTACCTATACAGGATGCGCGCAATCGAAAAAACTGTACATACGTGAATATATAGATAGCTTAAACCTAAAATGTTTGTCCATGATCTAAACATTTCCTGACATTTATACCGGATCTTGTAAGATGACATTAAAATCTTATATTACAAAAACTTGTAAAAACATAATGGGATCTTAACAGGATATTGTAAGAACTAAAATGTAGGAAGGAGCTTGTAAGACGCAGTAAAATCTTAATGTGATCTTGTAAAAAAAAACAATAAGATCTTCATAGAATATTGTTAGATCTCAGCAAAGACTTAACGGGGAATTGCAAAATCGTACAGAAATGGTAACAGGACATTTTACGATCATGTCGAGTTCTTAAGAGGATTTTTTTTAATGCTAAAGTGATCAAGGATGTTATAATGCTAAAGTGTTATGAATTAGGTTTGACGTATATGCGCTGCACGAGGCCTCGATAACCGGAACGGGATGTCGGAATACTGAAGCCGATAAAGAGTTTCAAAAGATGACAAGAGTTTCAAAAGATGACTCGTATTAAATATATAAATTGTTGTTGGAGCTAGGAATTAAGTGGCTGTTGCAATCACTCCCTGAACAAGACTCGCGTGTAAACCAAATGGCTTACTGATAATAACAGTAATACTGAATGCAAATGAACACGTCATCAAGTACAATTTTAATGAACGGATATTGGCATCAAGAACCTTAAAAGGAACTAGTGTTCATAAAGTTTGAAATACATCGAAAAATCGGGAACTAACGCTCGCAAATAACTGAAAACAAATGCATTTTAAAGTCTAATAAAACACAACCGATTATTTTTGTCATGATAGTATTTTTAAGATATCTTACTAAGTTCTTTACAGGATGTTGGCAGATCTCATTAAGATCTCCCTATTAAGACCTTGACCTTGAAGATGATGCAAAGATCTCGATAGCATCGTATCAGTCCTGTATTCCCTCAAATTTAGCTTCCAGGATAATTTTAGTCATCAAATTAATCCATTTATGCACATATATTTCCATTATTATTCTTATTAAGTATACCAAATCAGACAAGGATCCAAAGTTTCACAAAAAATTAGCCTTGCCGTCGAGCGAAAGTTAAAGTATTGAACAATAATGTGCACATTAGAAAGGCCAAGGGACTTCAAGCTCGAAGAAAAACTGCACACTCTTTGAGATACGACACAAAAAATTCACTGCAAAACGCGCGCAATTAGATTTTCTTATCAAGTCCGCCCCCCCCCCCCCCTGAAATCGGGAGCGAAACATCTTTGAAATCCTTACAACATAATCATTTTAGTTGTGGTAGGTTTGGATTCAAAACGTAACAGTAATAAATATATCGAAAATTAAGTCGAAAACGTTCCATTTCATCAGCCTTAATCACTGTAATTTGAAAAATCTTGAATATCACAGAAAATTTGAGATTTTCTCCCGGAACACGTGGGAAGCACGCTGTGTTTCTTATCTCGTTGAGTGCACCATTCCTACAATTTTGAGTCAGTGAACATGTACCCCTGGTTGCCTACACCAGTTGATCTGTATTCCAAACATAGCCGGTACATACTTGGATATGAAATCATTGCTTCAAAACCTCGTCAATAAACGCAGCGCTTTTAAAAGGCGAATTAAATGGTACCAATGCCGAGAATTAAAGATATTTAATTAACCGAAGTTATGAATAATGAAAATTAGCGTCGATTTAAACATTTAAAGGATTGCCAACATTAAAATTTCGTTTATCGACAAGCGGGTATTACCAGGTTCTGTCGAGAAAGAGTAACAAAATATCCTGCACATAAAAACTATGTTTAATGGGAATTTTTGAAACAAATTAATATATAACAAAATATAAATTATAGATGAGACAACACGCGAATCGGATTCTAACTAAGTTGTAATCTCTCGTAAGCGGGACATGCTTATTAGAAGCCACAAAATATAGGGAAATTGCTAAACGGTCAAAGTTCCGGTATATTTTGGCAGGAAACTGAATGAAACAGTGAATGACGACCGGCGTATGTCAACCGCGAATATGCAAGGCAAAGGTCAAGACACTGCCGCCTGACATTCGAAACTTGTAAAAATTAATAAACACTTTGAACTGCACAATGGAAACCTAGGAAAAAATTCAGTTATGTACTGAATCTTACCAGATTATTGGTGTCTTGGCCAAGGGTTAATATAGCAAAACAGAAGCATATAGATTTCTAGGTGATCAAACAAACCGAACTATTTTTCAAAAACATGATTCAGAAATGCTTCTGCCAAAATTCAACGTAATACGACTCCGCGCGCTTGCACATTTTAAAGTAGGCAAAATACGCCTTTGCGTGTTTTTTTTTCACAGAACTAAACTAACAATCTTGGTAGGGAGGAACATGTTATTATCAAGGATTTGCATTAATTAAACGCACAAGTCTTTTCTTGGAAGGTAAATTCTTACAAAGCTGGAAGAGATTTTTAACTGGCACAACTGAGTTCCGAGACCAGGCGGTTTGGCGGGTCGGTTTATATATTTATTATAAACATCCCATCTGTTTGGTTGATTACGACAATAAAATAAATGAATAAACTACACAAAACATATATCCAAAGAATAAATTACAAACAACGATTTTTCCAGCCGTGCAGAAAATTTTCTTCCAAGAAAATCGTGAATGCCCGCATGCACAAACTTGACATTCTCAAGTTCTCATACTAAGGTATTCCTTTTTATTTTCTTGGAAATAAACCTGCAAGATTCTAAATATAATCATCGTTTGGGATTCCTTCTAACAGGATGTGCAATACAATTGACAAAATCCAGATTTCAAAACAGGAAGAGAATTTCTGAGAAGGATAATCGTGAGTCTTCCTATCAACGACATGGCAGATCAACTACCTGCGCAACTTCCCTCTGTTCCGCAATGTGATGTTATATAAGAAGAAACTTGGAAGCTAGATGACACTTCACAAAAGTGTGTATTTTCGAAGCATTTGATTCATTTTCCAACGAGATGGCAGCTACTACCACCAAATTAACTAAAAATCAAGTTTCTGAGGGTCTCGACACATTTGCAAAATGGTTTCCAGAGGAGGCTGCAAGCATAGAAAAGCATCGCGACACCATCATTCGCCACATTGTTGAAGGTATGAGCCTACGTATTTTAGCTCATTTTATAAGCACGATGTGCATTATAAGTGAATTTATGAGTTACATCATACGATTTGTGTCATGAGCAGGCCACTGGTACAATATAGGTCTAAGTAAGTATCAAGTCTTTACTTCAGTATACATTCGAACGTCTAATCAAGTAACAACGGATAATACCATTTTCTCTATATAACGGACGATTATATGCAAATCTGTTTAGAGTTAACCTTGAGAATAAAATACGCCTCCCGTTCCTCTTTTGATAGATTGTGTTAATTGGAACTTTGGAAAGCTTACTGTAGGCGAAAAGTGTGCATAATATGAGATGATAGCCAAGTGTTTTTATCTCCACTAACGTCCATTTCAGCTGAACAATTAGGTTATAAAAGTTCCCAAAGTTTAGGAAAACGTTTAGACAGCGGATCTCTCCAAGCAGCGGAAAAAAACGTTTTGAGTCGCTAGATGTCCGTTAAACTTACTTGTACCGGGGGTGCGCACAATGAGCGCACTCCTATAATTCTTTGTAGGTTATTCCGGAAGAAGTGATACTATTCGCCTGAGCTTTTATGACTTTTAATATTTTTCATCTGCGGTCATGACTGTGAAAAGAAACTTCAGAAAACTCAAAGTTGTAAGAACTTTTGACGTGGACTTCAAACTCTTAGCCAGCACCGTATATTGCACAGTACATCATCAATACTGAAATATAGTCCAAATGTAGATAAATAAAAATATTATCGATTTTAGGAGTTTCACTTGTTTTGTATTTTGTTAAAATACTCAGTGGTTCTAAAAATTTATGAATATGTTTGATACAGTAATTTTATCAACTTTAGTATAAAATATTTTGCATGAAATCCTGAGTATTTGGCAATATGAAAGTAAATATTGCGTTTTTCGAAAACTATACTGCAGTCTCGATCGTATCCAACCTCCGTTACACTTCATGCAACACATTAATTGTATATTGGCCCGGTGTGGCGGTCTGAAATTGTCATCGTGCTGAAAATGTATTCAAGCTAGTGCGCATGCTCCAAGCGGCGCCTGCAAAACTAGCACGGGTACAGCGGTCTGCCATTGTCATCGTGCTGAGAATGTATTGTAGTATTTTACAGTTTTTACTACCAAAATCCACGCAAAATGCAAGTACAGTAACTAAAATTTTAGCCAGAAGCTTAACAGATGGGAAGATTATAAAAGGATTGTTTAACTCGTTTACCAATCATGATCATTTGAAAGTCAAGTACTAAATATGTACGTATCGCATATAATTTACTAAACTTTTATAGAGGTGGATTGCATGAAAATACCCATCAGTTTACATTTACAGATTGTATATTAAAAATAACGAAAGCATGCAGACATTTACCAATAATTTGTTGTTATATAGAAATTTAAAAATGTAAGAAATAGCTGAAATTTAAACTAGGAAAGGCCAATATGTTTATACACCAGGCAATTTTAACTGCAACTTTATGCCTGTTTCATTGTGCAAGACTTTTCTCTAATAGGTACAGTCATCTGGCATTAGACAGAGAAAAATAATGGGTATGATCTGCCATTATCATGAAATTGCCTATACTCCTATGGGAAAATAATTGAAACCAGAAATAATTAGGACAATGTTAAAACAAGACCATTTTTGTAGCAACCTCTTGCAATACAATTTCTGACAGAGCTGTGATCTAAAAACTTTAAGGTAGTTGCAGGAAAATTCCAAGCACAGCCCATGGTTTATTCTGCTAACAATTCTCATCAAATTTCAAATATCTTGATGTATGTTATGCAGGCCTCAATAACATTTTTTCGTGCCTGCAAGCGAAATTCAAAATGTGCCTGCAAAACACATATGCCTGTGAGCAGCACTCACACATTTTATCGATGCCTGATGTTATGCAAAGAAAGTGTTGGCAGAGTATACCGTGGATCATGCTTAGAATTTTTCTGCGATTTCTTTGGAAAATTGCCAGGAATGAGAGAGAGAAGCATAACACTTGTGCATGACGACACATTCTGAATGGTGTAAATTATTTTCAATTATGTGGTGTGCACTTGGAGAGCAAGACTAAATTGACATGAAAATTTTCCTTTAGCCCATTGAGTGGTAGCAACTTCCCTTGATAAATAAAATTTTCTACCGTTAGACATGAGAGTAAAATAAAAAGTGGGGCACATTTCCACTTAAAGGTTAAACAAGCCTGAATGCATATCAACATTACAGAAGAAAGAATATGAACACAAAAATATATTTATAATGCTGAACCTGCTATAATCGATTTTATTTACAGCAAGCAATTATTTACAACCACAACAAATTTATTTACAGCAAGCAATTATTCATAGTCACACCAAAAGAATGGGATAATTATGATTAATGAAATATTTACAACTTACTTACATTTCCACACAATATTGATACTCTTCTGTGATCTATTTATAATTTTTACAAACGAATAAAGTGTTCTTGTTTATCCTTTTCGGAACCCTTTCACATCCTCGATGGAACCAATCCTGGCAACGATCGCATGCAACCATGAAAACACCAGGGTTGTATGGTTGTCGACAGTGGCAGAACACTTCATGATCAGTAGTTTCCACTCTGTGATGCCTCTTGTGTTTTCGAACAACTGCCAATTGTGGGAAAAGTGCCAGATCTCCTTGCTGGAAGCACATACACAAATGATCCCTCATACTCTCTTGCTCACAGTAACAGTCTTGTGGTAAAATGCCATAACACAGACTTGTTGCCGCTGCGATTGCAAATAGCCCACAATCGCAAGTACCAGTTTGTTTCTGCATATCAGCCCACTGGATTGTAAGATGCTTAGATGTTGGCATTAGCATCTTTGCAATTTGCTTGTGAAGTTTTGCTTTGCTTGCAGAATCTAGGTTGTTGTATAGTGAGTCGTATAATGTTACAGTATCTTTAGGGCAGCCAATGTTACTGAGGGTGATCCAATGATTCCCACAAACATAATTTACAATTTGCACAAAGTCTTCTTTTGAAGTACCCACCGATTGGCACTCTTCTGAAATGAATACCCATGTTGCCTGCAAGCCTCCAATGAGGGGGAAATTCTCTGCGAGAATAGCCTGTGCATTGTCAATGTGTTCATCTGTCAACCATCTCCACTTTCAATCACAGGTAAAAGTTTGGGAAAGTCTTTGTATTTGAGAGCTGGTGTGACTGGCAATGGTCAAATTGGTCTTTTTTTCTCCGCTTTTTTTCACCACAGCAGACAACATAATTAGTTTCGCTTTTGCTGGCCTGAAGTTGAGCCTTGGGAACTTGCTCACTTGTGACAGTGTCAGTTTGGCCAGTGGATTGGCATGGCTCTTCTTCCACTTCTTCTGCCTTGATTTCTTCAAAGCCTGGTTCTAGCGGAACAGCTGGAGATGATTTTGGCTTGAGCAAGTCACTAGCAGTATGAGGTTTAATTTGCTCATAAGGCACTTTGACATTCAGCACATCCCCATTTAGCTTTGCCAACGAGACACGTTGATGGTGATCAATCTCAACAATCCTAGAGAAAAACAAGTAACACTTATTATCTATAGTGAAATCATTTACATCTAATGTTCTTTGGATGATTGCAGGCACTGGCAGCTTATAGTTAACCCAGTCTTTCAAGAAGGTTGATTTTTCAGGCTCCAGGCACAATGTCCGACCAATTTGGCTGGAAAAACTATGATTTGGTCGGAAGATCCAATGTCCAACTGTTAATTCAGGCTTTGATGTCCAAGTGGTTCTCATGAGAAAAATTTCACTCTTATAAAATAATCATGATATTTTTTGTCATATTACCTGTATGGGCCAGTCCACAAAGCATCTAACTTTCCACCTTTGCGGCTTATATTCTTCATAACTTTGCGGAGAACAAGGTCACCAACTGAAAGCTGGAAAACCTTGACCCCCTTGTTTTTTCTCTTGGCAAAATCCTTTTTCTGTTTTGCTTGGGCTTTTTCAATGTTGGCTTGAACTGTAAAATTTAAATCAATTTAACCCATTAAAGCACACGACTCTCCCCTTGACAAGGATTAAAAAAAATACCTGTGGTTCTGGTTCCCGACCGACCCTATATTTTCTGCCGACCCTATTATTTTTTCATCGCGATTGACCGTGCGACCCTATTTTCTCCGGGTGGTTGCGGGCTGCCAGGGGCGTACGTAAAGGAAAAAATTAGGGGGGGTGGGCGGAAAGAAATTTGCCCGACTTTTTCGGATTGTGCGCACATTGTCAAAAAAAATTTCAGAAGAAACTTTCCAAAATTGTTGTCGATTGGGGCGGGGGAGTGATTACGAAAAATTCCTATTAGATACACCTGTAGCATATTTCCCACAAAATTTACAGAATTTGTCCCATTTATTTTTACAACAAGCGAATATTGCCCAACTGTGAAGCGAATATTGCCCGACTGGCTTTGTTTGCCCAACAATTGTTTTCTGAAAGTTAGCTCATAATAGTTACAACTTAATTTTAATCAAATATTGTTCCTACTCATTGATATCTTCGGTACTGTATGTTACCATATCAAAACACAATTGCTGTTACGATATACATAAAAGACAAACATCAGGAACAATAATAATACACACCTGTTGGTCAACACAGTTCATCATTTCTGATCGGTCATATGTCATCTCTTCCAAGATTTCAGATGAGGGAGTTTCCAACTCAAAAATCCCTTCCTCTTCTGCCATATTTTCCATCTATAATTAGTCATTGTTTTAAACACTCATAAAGGTTCATATAATGTTTTGTGGTGCAACATAAAGCTTGAATGCAAATGTGACTGAGGGCAGATGAAAATTAAGACTGCAATCGGGGATGTTTGTCTCATGGGTAGTTTGTCCATATTACAACATTTTATGGGTTCAAATAATTACAGTACCTCTATTGGTGTCCTGGGATGTCGACCAAACATGAGGAAGAATGGACTGAACTTTGTTGAACCTTGTTTCTGTGTCCGAATTGAAAATGCGACTTCTTCCAAAAAGTCATCCCAGTTGTTTTGATGCTCATTGGCTAATTTTGCCAGTCGCACTTTGAGTGTCTGGTTGGTCCGCTCATCAAGACCATTGGTGCCTGCAAACCTCTGTGTTGACCTATTGAAAACACAAGCAAGCTTGTAATAGTTTAATCTCACCAAGTTATAGGTGCATGCAAAGTTATAGGTGCATGCAAAGTTGCAAACATTTGCAAAATCCAACTAGAGGGCACTCGGAGACTGCATACCTCTGCCAGAAATTTTAGGGATGTATCATGCATTTTGTCTAATTTTCACTCTAGAGAGGTGAATTTGTTGTCACAAAGAGAAAAATCTTCACTGGTAATGTGATTGGTCAGCGAAAAAGTTTGCCACAAAATAGACACATCAGTTTCTACTTTTGTACTGTTTGCACAAACAAATTGACCTAGTGGAAAATGGGCTTTAAGGATGTATTATTGCACGTTAATTATTTGGGGAGACATGGGCATTACCTTAGCCACAAATTCACGTCCTTGGTCTGACAGGAGTCTGCATGGAGCACCCCATGTACAAGAATAATCAAACAAAACATTTTAGCATTATCCTATGTTATTACATCAATTGTACTAGATGCCTTAATAAAGGCTGTATTCCACTTCAAGCATACCGTACCTAATCATTGTAATGGTAAGCTTTGCATATAGAGAGCTACTAGCCTACATTTCAAGCACTGTACAAACTTTATTTACGGTACTTGCAAACATATGTTTTGATGCAGCGTGCTATCCCAGCAGCTGCTTTTTCTTTTAAAGGATAGAAGTCCACAAATTTGGTGTAGTAATCAGTGAACGTAAGGACATACTTGTACCCAGCATCAGTAGTAGGAAGAGGCCCTTGAAAATATAATAAAAATAATTTGACAATCTTTAATAAAAATAGATATAATTATATTAATTAAGATCAACATTCAGAAATACTTGAGTATTCTTATACGTAAGTATTCTATTTCGCATTTGAGTTACAGATTCACGAAAAACTAATATTTCAAAAACAGATTTGTCACAAATTCATTCACATGATTTAAGGTATGAAGTTGAATTTAAGCATCTTTAGAAGCATACCAATAAGATCCATTCCAACCAATTCTAATGCCTTGTTTACTTTAATTGATTTAAGCTCTGGAGCTTGGGTTTTCAGTTTCTCATATCGTTGGCAGCGATCACAAGTTTTACACTAAGAAGTAACAAATTGCATAATGGTAAAAAAATGCATGAAACATTTTAAATTGACCTTGGAAATGCTACACAGGGCTTCGGGTAAGAACAGTGCATTGTGGCCTTTTGTGGGATACTTTTGGACCAGTAATTCATAGTTTAAAAATTATGCAACATAAGAACCTCTTATCTAAAGTGTTTCGTCACTAATAAAGGCAATTTACACTTGTTTTCATTTTCCCTAATGCTTATCAAGATAAGCCTGGCGTTAGGCAGAAAAAAAATAATAAAGTAGGGTCCATCTGGGTGCATTGCCACTTAAAGGGTTAACCAATTTTCCTTTTATGTTACTTACATATTCAACTACATCCTCCTTAATACCATTCCAAATATAGTACTGGGATACTTTTGCCAGATTGTTATTTATTCCACTGTGCCCACCCATTGGATTGGAATGGTACTGATGTAGAATCTCTGAAATCTCCTCGACATCCATCACAACTTTTTTTCTCAAATTTTTCTTTGCCCCAACATAGATAAGTTCTTTTCCTTAAACACAACAAAAAATAGTTTGGTATATGGGACTGGGTCATTCAAGAATAAAACCCTGCAGACGAAGCTGGATGTTAACCCCCTTGGCTCTACCCCTTGGGATGGCCTCAGAAGTATGTACATATTGGGTCATTCCCTATTGCTTTATCAATATTAACGGGTCTTAATTCCTTTGACAAAGTTTTCCTGTTAACAAAACTCCTTCCTATACTGCTGACAGTAAACATGCTATACTAGGTACTCGAACTTTGCTTGTTACTGTTAAAATTTGCACTTAGCAACATTGGCGAATGTTGTTCAATCAATTGAAATCTGCAGTATTTCAAGTTCTAGGAAAACAATTTGGTTCCCATATAATGTTACTTTCGACAGAGTGTGCTCAACTATCTTTAGCTACACAGTGTAGCCAAATAAATTAACTGTACTGGTAAAATATTAAATATCTTACTTTTAATGTCCCATTGGTGAGTTTTGGCTTGGTTTTTTATATTCCTCACTTCTTTTTTTGTCAATCCAGACGGGCACACATTCGTGGTTAGATATGTGATCAAGTTCTGGCATTGCATCCTGTGCTTTTCAAGTCTTTCATCTCTACTAGGATGTGGTGGCTCTTCGTCCCCACTACCATCGGGTGCACTGTTTGATACATATAATAGTACTTGGTGGCAGAGTATCAAATGGTTCAAGGACCTCTGGGTTGTCTTGTGTACTATCAACACTGTTTTTCTTTGGAGTTGCAACCATTTTATGCCCACTAGTAAAAGATTAATCTAGGGTTTATATTACTAGAAAATGATGCCTACAGGCACTTGATGGCCGAGTGTTGACCTACTGCATACATGTTGCAAAACAATTTTTTCCATAAAAAAGTAGACGTCAAAATCGCATTAACAGACTTAACAAAGTTAGTAATACGTGAAGTCAGAAAAGGCATTTATTAGGCTTGAAGAATAAAAGCGAACCATTACAATTGATACAGAAATATATACAGAAAGATATACAATAATTGTCTGAAGACACGTGCAGTCGTGCACAAGATTTCATGGTCAAGATTGCAAATACACAAGTAGAAACAAAGGTTGAATGACCATAGAGTTACCAAATTTATGACAATAAATACCCTTACCTTTACTGAGATTTACCAAACGTTGTCTTGGTCAAATTATTTTCCAAGAAACGAGAGAGATAGAATTCCACTTGCATTCGAAGAATTTCGAGGAAAGAATGCGCGCAATTTCAACACGGCAAATTTACCGCAGGCACACACGCGGGCGCATGTTGACACTGCGCATGTGCAAAACAATTTCAGCACGGAACAATCTCAGATCGCCACACCGGTATAATAAAACGTAAAATGGTAGCATTTTTTGCCATTTCTTCGGTAGCTAGTGGTCTTATTGAATAGGGACAAAAGGCAACCTTTTGGATTTTGGATGGCCAAATCACCAAAAATAAAAAAATACGATCATGACAATTAATAGGCAGAATTTCTGGGGGGGATGCCCTATCAGCACCCCACCCGGTATTTTCAACATAAAAATATCCCAGTACAAGTAGGGTTAACCTTATATGGATGTTTCACTGTAGAAATTTATTGAATTCTGCTCAATATACAGTACTATACAATAACCGCGCTAAAAATTAGCTTGATATATAGTCGGAACAGTCGACTCATGCCCAACGTTTTTCATCATTATTATTAACAGGTACCAGTCCAGATGTTGGTTCTCCTCTGCTTGTTCAGACTCATGCCAAAGTGTCTGCCCCTCCTCCAGCAGAAAACCTGTCTCTCACACCTTGCGCAGAAGCCATTGGGGTATTTCTTGCAGATGTAATTATCTTTGTTCTTGGATTGGCGGGGCTGCGTGTTCCTTTTTCGAATAGAATAGTACGCGCGCTTGTGCGCGAATTGGGAGAAGAAAGATTGCGTGGATTCGTCGAAGCGATACGTAATTTTAATGAAGCTTTGGGGAAGTGGGAAAAGGCTAAAGCGCTGTTTGCTATCATTGTCGAGATCTATAATGTTCGAGGTTTCGTTATTGTCTTCAAAGTGCTTTATGATGAAATGACATGGCAGGATTGGCTGATAACAAGCGTAAAAGCCTCTGCTCTGATTATTCTGTGGGTTGGCACTGACGGAGGTATCTTCATTGCACAAGCAGTTTTGGGCATCATGGGCGCCAAAGCGTTGATCAAAGATGGCATCGAAGCTGCCAAAGTTTGCTCCTGCACTTAATGTTAAACTTTGAATAAACTTATATTGTAGATGGTAGAGAACTGGCATGCCTGTTTGATAAGAAACTTTTGTAACATGGCCAGTAATCACGGACATGATTATTCTACTACTTCCTTACTAACTTTGCATATCATTAATACATAACCCGTTGCAATGTGGCTTCGATAGCATAGTAAAATATATTACCCGATGCTTTAAATCGCAAAATCAGAGAATATTGGTAGTCGTTTGCAATTTGCCTCGATTGCTTGTTGCAGAACACGGTCTGTTGAAATATATCGTGTGGTGTTTGCCTGGTGTAAGTTACTGCCAATTCTGCATTTCCGTTTTTTTCTAGTGGCTATGGTGCGGTATTATTATATATCTATATATATAGAGTTAAATAGACAAATTTCGTACAAACTAACCTCTGTCAAATACCGAAAATACAGAATGGTCACGAACTAAAATCAAGTCAACATTACGCTAAATACTTCGACAGACTTTGATTTATAGCCAGCGACTGAGGCAATTTGCAAACGACCTACCATATTCTCTGATTTTGGGATTTACTGCATCCCGTAATATAATGTACTGTTTACTGCAGAAGCCATATTTCAACGTGATATGCAAATTACAAAGGAAGTAGAATAAATCATGTCCGTGATTTCTGGCCATGCTTTGCGCATTTTACATATATGCTACATTTATACTACTATAGCCTTTTTATATTCAATGTCCACTAATACAAAATTTGTGTTGATTTTAAATACAAAGATAATGAATTAAACTAATGTTCCCGAAATTGATCGTGACTAAAACGCCACACGAGTACATACGAGTAACATACGAGTAACACACAAGTACATACGAGTACATACGAGTAACACACGAGTACATACGAGTAACATACGAGTAACATACGAGTAACACACGAGTACATACGAGTAAAACACAAGTACATACGAGTACATACGAGTACATACGAGTAGAATACGAGTAAAATACGAGTAGTAAACTTGTTTTTAGTGTTTGTAGATTGAATACAGGCAAAAAGATCGTCTTCTCTGTCGAAAAACGTGGAATGGGGGAATGGAGGAATGGAGGAACGGGGAATGGGGGAATGGAGGAACGGGAAATGGGAGAACGGGGAATGCGGGAATGGGGTGGTGGGGAATGGGGGGACGGGGAATGGAGGGAATGGTGGGGCGAGGGGGGGGGGAGGAAATAGGGGGCGGGGGAGGTCTGCCCGATTCTATAAACCACAACTTTGTAGTTTGTACAACATCTACTTTTAGGTATTCTACCTAGATAGATACATGACACAAACCATAGGCTTCACATATTTCACGGCATGGTTTGCTTTCAAAACCCTGTGAGCATGCACATAACCTAATTGCATCTATACTTAAATAGTACTAGGTGATAAACTTACAATCCTCACATAGCCTCAATCACAACATGTGGCTAGGCAAATATACGAACTACACAGTTAACGTATACCGTGACGACATACGACAGTTCCGAGACCGAAATACAGGACAACAGGGCCTTTTTTAAGGATTTTCCCGTGGGGGGGGGGCATTTTTTTGAAAAGGGACCTTTCTGTGAGATAATATATTAGAGGGGGATAGCAAAGGCCGACGGCCACACACTGTGGCCGACATACTCCCCCGGAAAATGTTTTAAATTTGAACCTTTCAAATGCCATTTCCTGCTTTATGAGCATCTAAATTTGCTCTAAAATTTATGCTAATTATACTTGTATTTGAAATAAAAGAAGGAAAAAATGCAGAAAAAATAAAAGAAATATTAACAATAATGTATCCATTACTTATTATTAAAGGGGGATAGTAATGGCCGTGGGTCATGTGTGTGGCCGACATACCGTGAATGAATAGGGGGTCTGGGGGCATACTTCCGCAGAAAATTTTTGAAATTTGAAGCCCAAAAATGCCATTAGTTCCTGCCGTCTGAGCATCTAAATTTGCTCTAAAATTTATCCTAACTATACTTCTATTTGAAATAAAAGAAGGAAAAAACGCACAAAGAATTTAAAAAATATTAACAATAATTTATCATTACTTAGTGTTAGAAACACGTAGGATGCGCACGCGGTGACACAGTCCTTTAAATCGATTTTGTTAAACAAGAAGAAAGGAGAAAGCCTAAAACTTACGTTCCGTTTATCAATTTGTTATTCTTCGCTGGTTTGTTTGTATAAATTTAAGAAATAGGGACAGCGAGCCTCAGAACATGCATTTTAATTTCCGATCAGCCTGCATCAGAGCAAAGCACCCTAGCTTTCTTGGCGACGTTCCCGTTCATCCAGACTTTCTTTCCCTTTTCAAGGTGGAGCACGTCCAAAGGCTTGCAGGAGAGTTCGGCTGGGTCCTTTAGAAACGTACTTGCCAACTTAAATTGCTAGCTTAAAATCTGCGTATTTTGAAGTATTTTGTTAGTTTTGCTTTGTAAGATATTTAAAATAGGGTAATCACTTTAAGATATCATATGGAGCATAAGGACTGCCTTGGGCTTGCATCTAGTCCTTAAGTTTGTTTTATTAAATAGCAAGTATATTAGTAATGACATAAGCAATGTTATTATTATTAATATTACTTACTGATCGGACATAAGCAATGTGGATTGACCTTTTTATGATACGCTGTATTATTAAAGGAAAGCTTCGCTAAATTTCTTTACTAGTTTTAATTCATTGAGCGGTTTTCTAATTCGCAAGACACCTGAGTCCGTTTTATAGTTTCGTAATTCCCCGATTGCCGTTTATCCTGTCGAATTTCTGTTTCTTTTTTCTGTTCTTTTTCCCCCCGTATATATGATTAATATTACGTATTAATAATAATTCATAATTCCCCGATTCCCCTGCCCCCCGTTTTTCGTTCCCCCGTTCCCGCATTCCCCGTTCTCCCGTTCCCCATTCCTCCATTCCACGTTTTTCGACAAAGACGACGATCTTTTTGCCTTCATTCAATCTACAAACACTAACTAGGGATCCAAGGATAGTGTGAAGTTTCAAATTGAAAAAGACACTGCAAGAACTATATAGGTTCGCCGAATACCTAGAAAAGCTGATGGCTTACACTACGAAATAAACAATTACCAAAGGCATTTCATCTCATGCGCTCGGCACACGACGTTTGAAACAAGCCTGACACATCAGAAACGTGCCTTGTGAAACTGACACAATTTATCTATTTATTGTGATGCTACACGCATGCTAAATTTCAATTGTTTCACCAACAACCAAATTTTGCATATTCTAAATTTTCATTTGCATTTGTATTTGCAGCTGTCGCTAAAAGCATCCCCACGAGGCTACTGCTATGCTAAATTTATCTAAAACTATAATTGAAATAGCTGTATAAGATATGTTATGAATAATAAGCACTACGTCGTTAGATCATTAAAAGGACGCGTTTTATCCTCACCCGTTCCGTATTTTATCCGCATATCCGTTCCGTGGATCCGCTTCCGCATTTTAACCTAATTGTGACATGTTTTACAATAACAAGTCTCATTGACCTTTGACTTTTCCCAGTGTCACGTCTATTTTCAGCTTTTCGCATGTGTTGAATAATGTCACTTTAGATTTCAATAGTTTCACAGTTATAGCTGCAGTGTTTAAAGCAGTTTTGACAAGCTTTGATACAGTTCTGTGTACAGAATACTCATAGAAACTAGAAGTTACTATCGCAAGGAAAATGCTGCCTCACCCCCAAGGGATGAAAGGCAACATGCGCAATTTGCTGAATAAGGGCCCTGTTTATATGAAACCACCAGGACGAGATATGAGGCAGGATGATTTCGATATACTGAAATAAGTCACGGTGCATGATTTAGCAAACAGGGACGTTGCTACAAACGTTGGTGAAAGTTGGTCAAAATGGAATTAATATTTGTTTAAAATTGAAGGTCAAAGTTGGTAAGATTTGGTCAAAGTTTAAGATAAAAGATTGTCAAAGTTATGATATCGTTCGCAATGTTAACAATTTCTAAGCTTTGGTCATGTTTGCGCTGACTGAACAATTGCAAGCCTTGCTTATTTTGGTCGAAAAATATTTGAAGATGTCCCTGTCAGCAAAAAGCTTCATTATTTTCTAGAGATGGATGGATTATAGTTAACTATAAACGAAAGGTTGTTCAAACATAATAACTTTCTTGAACCACGCGATATTCTCTACAACATTTGAGTTCTGTTAACCAGCATTTGAAGTTCATTTACATAGTGACTAATATTTCAATAAATTACATCAAAATCACCGCCTTGGGTCGGCTAAATGTTCTAATTCTACTTTCTTTGCATGGGCGGTTTTATATGAATATCTTCAATGCTTATAACTTCTTGCTTTTGTATGTATAATTTATCATAATACTGTCAATGGTGAAGCTAGCCATAGCAACAGGTCATGCTATGCAAGTTTTTAATGATTTGCATTGTTCAAATATACAGTAGATGCAGGTTTATTAGCATAGCATGGTCAGTTGCCACGGCTAGCTTACCACTGAATACTGTACAATGTTTATATAAAGATACTAAAGCCAGTTTTCCACTTCGTCTTAACGTATCGTAGCATTTCCTTTTGTGTTCATATTATGCTAACAATTAATGGACATATCTCAGAGGCCTAGCTCAAAGATATATAATATATATATAAACAGACAGTCATGTCTTATACAAAAGTCAGTTGACATACTATATTACATGTATTAAATTGCTAGCTGGTGACATGTTATATTATAAACAGGGGCGGATTTAGACCGTTGCAACTGTAGCTTATGCTACGGTCAGATTTTCCATAGGCCAGTTCTAACATGGATCATAAAATCAATCTAAAATATAATTTAGCAATATTTTGTTTACTTTCCTTGTTTATATTTCAAGGTTTTATTTTATTTAGTTTTATATGTTCTAAAACATTTTATTTTGACAAATTGATGACATTTATAATACGTAACGTTAATTGTTTTAAGAATTCCCGCCCGAAAATACGGTTGTAATTGCCCGTTTGCGGGTCATTACGCAATGGACTATAGCTTAGAAAATATCATCCTTCAGAAATACACCGTAGCGTGTTGCCCATATATGATCAATTTTCGCTACGGTCAGATTCATTAAGGTCGAATCTGACCGTAGCGAAAATTGGCATATACGGCATTCTGATTGGTTTGCTACGGTCAAACGTAGCAAACCAATCGGAATGGGGCAAATGCTACAGTTTGCTACGGTGGCATGAAATTGGCTACTGCTCCAGAACGATGGAATATCTGATATTTGTGTTTGGCTCATCAACAACATGCTATTGGGAACCCACAGTACGGTTGTGCGCATTTCGAAATGAAAGCCGTCGTAAAGCTAAAGGATTTATATGCGTCGAGGTAGAAATAAAATCAGATAGTAAAACGAATCATTTCCAGTCAGGTAAGCCTTATGAATGATAAGAGATGCACATTATATTTTAATTTGAGTTTTTACTGTATAGTGTTCGCTATTAACTTCGCTTTATTAAAGTGTTTGTGCGCGTATGTACAGTATACCTGCATGTATTGGAATTAATACGCGAATTATGATATGCGCGTATATATATCGTGTTTTATATCGCGCTAATATTTGTTTGTAATGCGTATATATTCGTAAGATACGCGTATTCATATCATACGCGCGTTCATATGATATGCGTATTCGTATGATACACGCGTTCGTAGATGATACGCGCATTTCGGTATTCAATTGATAATAATATGCGTATGATACGAGTATCATACCGATATCGTATGTTAAAATATACGCGAGCAATAGTTTACATTTTGAGATCATTTCGGCTTATTTTTGCTTGAGAAATGAATACAATGAGGACAAATTTAATGGTCACATGCAGTGCTCAGAACGCAGGAAATGGCATTTCCGGGCTTCAAATTTCAAAAATTTTCTCGGGGGGGCATGCCCCCGGACCCCCCTAGCTATGTGAGGTCTTGGAAAATGCTACGGTCAGATTTTTGGCTGGATCCGCCCCTGATAAAAGTCAATATGTGCAGACCGTGCTACAGACAACAATCCACATTGGGTTGCTCTAGGAATCTTATTACAGTAAGCCTGATTAAACAACATTCCGCGTTTATTTTCAAACTATAAACATCTACAAACTGAACACTATATATACTCATGGTTTTGGCTGGCTTGCACATATCAATAAACTCATAATCAGTTAAAGCACATCTCTTGCCTCTAGAATGAACGCTAAACAGTTCATCGCCTTGATGGTTATTAACACAAATAAATAACGCCATAGTTACTTGGTTTCTTTGGGAAGTGTTCGTATATTTTGCATCAAGTCAGATCCAGAATATAAAAGCTTGCAAATTTAATATGTGCACGCAATTCAATATTTTTCTCGCACTCCCCCCGGTGTCCCCCCGGAATTACGACATCTTAAATATGGACAGACACAAGATCTAGATCTCGACAACACATAGATCGGCGCGAAAGACTGGGTCGAGTGAACTCTGGAGCAAGATTAGGAGTGCTGCCTTCGGCAGCAATGAGAATACTACAGATTGATTCTCGTAAGATCTGGTAGAGTTATCGTTGCACTGAACACGAGTTTGCACCGTTGACAACGGCGTTGTGCTAGACAGTAAACAAGGTCCGTGACAGTACATGTTGGCTACATGTACCTCCTTGCTTTTTTCTTCCATTGCATAAATCTTGTTGGCGAGCCAAGCGATTGGCGACAACACGTTGGCGATAACACATTGGCTATCTCCTCGTCTTTCTTATTTAAATAAGGAGCTCTGACTCAACTGATTTCTTTCGTCTCGCAATATTTTCTTCGTAAACGCCTGTACAAACACCCGCTTCTGTTTAATAGTTGTTTACGCTTTATTGATCTGATGCAGATCTGATGCAATTTTTCGCTCTTTGTACTGAGTTCTGTGATGTAGCACCTTATACAGTCAATGACAATGTATAATGAATACACGGTCTAAATAATATCGATTGGCACATAATTGAATGCCGGTAATTATAACATCAATTTATATATTATATTATTGCGTAGAATCTCAAAGATTTTCTCAATATTCATGTCTGAAATGTTTATATACTTGAAAACAACACTGTCTCGCTTCTTCGTACGTACTGTACCTCCGTATAATGAGTATGCCGTGAAAATAATATCAGCACTCAATTGAATGCCTAGAATCTCAAAGATTTTCGACTCAATATTTAATACGTCTGAAATGTTTATACACTTGAGTGTTGACTGCACTGTCTAGGCGGTCTAGCTCCTTCCTAGCTCTGTATAATGAATATACCGTCTAAATATTATCGACACTTAATTGAACGCCCGTAATGCATAAGATCAATTTATATATTGCGTAGATTTTCAAAAATTTACTCAATATTCACGTCTGAAATGTTTATACATCTGAAAACAACACTGTCACTCCTTCCTAGCATATCGTCACGCCATCGTGATCTACGGCTTGATAGCGCATGCGCATTTGCGCTACTAAAAAAAATCGGGTGTTCCGGGGTAAAGATCCTTTACACAACATGAGAAGCGAATGTTCTAAAATTTACAAAAAAATACAATAACAAAAGCGATTCCTCGAAATTTTTGTGAACTTGGCAAAAGGATAACGGAATATGTAAATAAGTTAACTGAAATTGCTTAAATAACCTTCAAAGTACTGACAAAGCACAATAAATCACTACGAACATAAATCGTATACACCCCCCGGAAAGTTTACTGTATGACTGACTGACTGAATGACTGAATGACTGACTGAATGACTGACTGATAAGTTTGAATTTCCTCCCAGTCATCACAATACTGTGAAGTTTCGAAGAAACTTCACACTAAAAACAAGTTTACTACTCGTATTTTACTCGTATTCTACTCGTATGTACTTGTGTTTTACTCGTATGTACTCGTGTGTTACTCGTATGTTACTCGTATGCACTCGTATGTACTGGTGTGTTACTCGTATGTACTTGTGTGTTACTCGTATGTTACTCGTGTGTACTAGTGTGGTGTTTTAGTCACGATCGTGAATATTGTAGTAAACATACCGTGCTTGCTTGTCTGTGACCAACATTAAATTTACAAGAAACAATCTGTAGTGACAAGGCTTTTTGAATCTCATTTTAATATCATAATATATATGGATAACATGATAAAAAACTTTAAAATGTCGATGCATATCCCGCCATATTGCGTTTGCGGAATCGAATGATTCCCACAGATTCTGACTTATAGACTGCGTAGACCCCCCCCCCCCCCGACCACAGAGGAATTACCGCGATGATGGGAAAGAAGATTCCGTTTACCAGGGGGGCGGGATGCTGTCTGGGAACAGATATTGAAAATATTGCTCCCTTCAGCGGAAAAATTACAATCTGCTTGCAATACTTAGTGTTAGTGTTAATGAGAGGCAGTGAATTCTGAATATAAAAGCTTGATAGGAAATAGGAATATATATTATTAAACAATAACACAGTTTTATACAGAGGATTCATTGTCGTTTACATTCATTTACGTTTCCAAAGCAAGTAAGTTGGGCATTAATTTTAGTATTATGACCGTTGGTTATCATTTCATATGTCATTGTGGTTCGAAATTTCGTTAATTAAAATAGTTATTAAAGTGCTAAATTTAATAGTAAATAATCTATAATTTCCTAGCAAGCTTTTTAGTTTCTCTTTGTTTCATATCAATGTTTATATTAAATTAAATTAAAAATTGAATACAAGGACTGCTGCTTGCAAACAAATTCGAACCTAATTGATAAATTACAAAATATGTGGCGAAGCTAGTCATAGCAAGTTAGCAACTGATACTGTGAAGATTTAGGAAACAATGCAGTTCTATACACACTATGCATAATGCCTCAAATTATACAATTTGGCATCTGGCTACCAGCCTCGTTTTGATGCAACTTGTTTCCAGGTCCCGAGTTATTGTGCATATCATGTATGTATTGTAGAATATAGAATAAAACACTTTTCTAGGCCGGCTACTTCAAGTACTGCATACTTGCTTTGCATAATGCACAAACAAAGCAAAATACATAGTGTGTATACAATATCCAGATTTTTCCTTAACTCGCCCTATCTCGCCTTAACTCGCATTGGCTCGCCTTATCTCGCGGCGAGTTAAGGTCCCAGAGCAGGCCTTATTTACGTTGTCAGTTAGTAGGGCATTTACAGCGGAGCCTGGTTCAATAATATCATGATTGATTACCTCCACATTAACTTCCGCACTCGTGTTACCTGGCGAGTTAATGTCCGATTTGTTATTTAGTAACCTAATGGCTGTAATTAAGCTAGCCTTCTCCTCTTCTGTAGATTTGACCTTTCCTTGTAGGTCAGCTAATATATAATTCAGATTGTTTAACCTTTCGTGTAAAGATTTGTTCTCATTTTTCAAATCATTGTTCGTGTCTTTTAAATCGCTATTTTCCTTTATACGTGCAGAAAATTCACTTTCCTTGTCAGCAATTCTGAGTTCTTTAAGCTGGTTAGAGTGATCTGATAACGTCCTATTTATGTATGTCATGCTCGATACAAATTGATCGGATAAGGCTTGTACAGGGTGTCCCAAAAAAAAGTGGCACTATAGAAATTATCCTATTGTTATAATTTGAATGCCCTAGCACTAAGTTGATCCCACAGGTGCATAAACTTCTGCTTCTGGAATTTAAAATAAAAAAGCGAACCGTTTATAAGGCAGCGTTTACACTGTACCGTTTCGTAGCGTGCTCGTATTGTTCTTAATCCTCAAGGGAACGCAAGACAATAGTCTAGTTCTCTCGAACAATACGAGAACGCTACGAAAACGGTACAGTGTAAACGCTGCCTTAGTGTAATCGTTTTGCTTGACTCGGGCGTTAACATATTTGGACAAAGCGAAAACGTTTTAAAATGCGTAAATGTAAATACAAGTTCATTAAATTCCCAGGCGTGTAATCACGCGCGTTTAAGAGCGGCTTAAGAACAATGAGATGATTTCTATAGTGTCACTTTTTTTTGGGACACCCTGTAGTTTAGCTTGTAACTGGCAGTTAAGGATTTTAAGATAAGTCTCTTGGGAATCGTCTAGGTCATTATTTGGGTGGGATTTATTGTCGTTATGGCTGACTGACCTGTTTTTCTCAATAACATACACGACCTCGACCTCGCCGTTAGCTAAACCCACTGAAATTGAGGCTAATTTCAACAGCTTCTCCTTGAATTTCTTTTCGTCTTTACCACTAATGGTGATCGATTTGGTATTAGAATACCAGCGGATAGAGATGCTTTCATTTTGGTAAAGCTTTGCGTGTCCTCCCGGCGTGGTCCATTCGCCGTCTGACAAACCCAAGACGTCTGCGACAAATCTTTGTAGAGCCTTAAAATCGGCTGTCCATTTGAGCTTTGCTTTGCTCCTAGTAGATAAATTATGTAGCAGACTCATTCCAGTAATAGTTTGCTCTGTATCCATCTTAGATTGGGTTGGTTTTAGTGACTTTTTAGACATAAAATGAGGAGCTCCAAACCGAGCACCGTACACGTGTACCAAAGCAATGCAGGGGTGAATTAAAAAATTAGGGCCCCCTTCCATTCCCGGGCCCCCTCAAAAAATTTTTCCTATTCTTTGGGGGAGGGGGAATGTACAAAGTAGTTCCGGCCCTGATTCTTATTTTGTTTCTCTTTACATGTGATACAGGCAGCCATGTTGTCAAATGATTCCCGCGTGGTGCTAATTTTCCCGCGCGTGAGGTCGAGAACAATAGAAATATGCAAACTTTACTATTATCATAATTTATACATTTGGTATGGCTCATGACATGCGCGGCTGTATGAAACAACCCATGCTTCAGCTGTGAAATACGCCTGAACCAGGCGAACTTTTTAATTCAGCCGTGCTTAATACAAAGTACAGTGCTTATTCTGCTTCTCATGTGCTTAATTCAGTTAATTAAGTTCAGCTCATGAAACGTTCGGCGTCTAAACTCGGCCTAACAGTTATAACCAATGGTTATAACACTGTGTAACATTACGTAATTCTGTGAAACTCATTTTATTTTCCTACTATCGATATATGTAATAGTGTTACAAATAAACACCACAAGAAACCAATCTAAGTATAATTTCACCCTTACTTCATTTCTTCGAAATTTTTCTTCAACACTTTTTCTACAAACGTCTTCAGTATATTTTCCTTGACCTTCACCACGTCTTTGTTTATGACATGATCGCCACTCTTCTTACCAATGAAAGCTTTTTTCCGATCTTTTTTTCTGAAAACAACAAACGAAAATAAAAAAGCTGCCATGCAAAAAAATAAAGAACGTTTCGACGTTTCCAGCGAAGTCCCTGCCTCAGTATAGGTTAGTGGGTGCTGACTAAAGGTCTATACACACCGCGGACGCGATTCGACAACGCGACACGATTTTTTAGTTTTTGAAAGTTAATAAAACAGCCAATGAGAGCAAATTTTAAAAGATATGTAGACCAAATAACTCAAAATGTTCTAACGCTTCAAAATATTTGAAAAATTTAAACTAGGATCAAAGTTATTGTTCAGTGAAAATCGAAAAATCGCGTCACGTTGTTGAATTGCGTCCGGTGTGTCTGGACCTTTAGACTATGTGCACACGGTTAACGTTTTTGAGCGTTTTCACTTGTATTTTCACGCTAAAACGGATGCAAACACTATCAGTTTACGACAGAAGCTGTAGTTTATTTAATATATTGGAGATATTTTCCTTCAGACCTTGTGAGAAGGGCGTCAAAACGCTTAAAGGGACAAAAACGTTTTTGAAAACGACGCCCGTGTGCACTCTTGACAAAGGTCCTTTGTTCGAACGTAGAAGTGTTTTTCATCCTTTCAGATAGTTCAGACACAAACCACGGCAGCCGTTAATTGTAGAAAACTACCTTCACTAGACGGATGGTATATATAGTGACGATGAAATGACGTGATGACAAAATGACGCAAATAATTCTGACTGCGATAAATAAACACAAAATTAAACAACAAATCTAATCTTAAGTTCAGTTGAGCAACTCCTCCAGCAGTTATAAAGAACCAAGCCAAATTCCTGCCTTATGTGCTCTTTATGCCGATGTCAGAGTCTTCTTGTACGACTATACAATATCTCTGTTGTTGAAATTTTTATTTTTCTTAAGCACGCAACTTTTCCTGAGATGATAAAGAAGAAATAGAAGGACTCGCGAGCTTTAATGAGTATGTCTCAGACTCTGCTCTCCCGACCTATTCTTATACATACGCATCTCTTTTCTGGTCAAGACGATACAGGTAATATTATAAATATCATATATTATAAAATAACCTTTTAATAACGCCTGCGCAGATTGGTTGAAAAACGAAAAATCCCGTGTTTCTATAACGCTATAGAACACGGGAATTTTCCACGAACCTCAAAACAACACACGTTTTCGCCTGAAATATCGATTAAAAATCTTCGTCAACCTGAAATTTGTTAAACAAGCAACGGAAAACACTTACCAAACGTTTTTTCGCTTTAAATTTTCTTTAAATCAACTTTTCAGCGTGTTTTTTCCCCATAATTTTGCTGTCAGCAAAACTGAAAATTGATGCCGGTATTGTTGCTAGGCAACATTTTCTTGTTATTGTGTAATGAGAATATACTTTTTAATCGCGTTAAAAATATTGTTTCAGTGTGTTATTATCACAAGGTTATTTAATAAAGGAAATAGAAAACATTTTTTCCTGTGTTTCTATAGAGTTATAGAAACACTTGTGCTAGTTTGGAAGAACTCGAAATAACGTGGAAACACTCGCACTATACGTGCTCGTGTTCCAACTGATTATTTCTCGTTCTCCCAAACTAGCACGCGTGTTTCTATAACTCTATAGAAACACGGAAAATGTTTTCTATTTCTTAACTGATATTAGATGTACGATACTCAGACCCCGTTCACACGATACCGGCATGGAATTCATGCCGGCAGAATTCCATAGCGGTTTCAACTGTTCCCACGATACCGGCAGAATACTATTCCGTTTAGGTGTTGCGTTCACACGATACCGTGCAATGTCGGATTCGAGTTCGGTTCGTTTTTCTTATTTGAAGTTTGAGACATTACTGCTGACCATTTTTATCACCTGTCACGAAGATGTTCGATTTCCCGCCAAAATATGTCATTAGTTGCTGGGGCACCTGTGCCAGCAACTATAGGTTTCGGGTGAAATTGGTTTCCTTCTCCTTCTCCTTCTCCATGGATAGTCGCAAAATGGAAATTCCCACTGATCTATATACGAAGCAATACGTGCATACATTTTCGCTATTTTAACGGTCTTAAAGTCTTCGTAAGTGTATAAAGTGAACGTCAAATTGTTCTTTCAATCACGCTTTTTCTTCTGGGGGCTTTTTGAAAGAAATCCATCAAGAATATACAGAATTATGTCGACGTTTCACTATCGAGGAGTGGAGTAGATTCCGAGGTGGATTAACTGACAATAACTGTGTTATTTATTCGTCGAACCGTTATTTCTGAACGTTTATATTTTTGTTTTGTGAAGTTTTACATCTATATACGCTTTAATATGGCTTATAGTCCCGGTTGCTCCAATAGTCTGCATAAAAATCGTATTTGTTTACATGTATTGGAACTGTCATATTTGCATGCTAGCTCTATTTTCAAGAAGGCTCAAATGTTGGCTGTTTTGAAGTGACACACGAGGTACGTGACACACAATCTTGGATTGGTATTTCTTAGATAGATGTTTTTAATTGATAAACCTTGCAGCCATTGGCTGTATTATGTTAACATTACATAAGGTCCAATTATTATTCTGGTTATAGGATCTAACCATTTGATGATATTTATGTGGCTCTAACATGTAATAGCTTCAATATTTTGGAGTGTATTATTTGATGTTAAGCCCTTTAGTTAAAAATCACCAATTGAAGAATTGCTAGAACCAAAAGTGAATACTGGAACTATCCATATTTACCATGTTGCACCCTCAATGCCTGGTTACCCCACGTCTTGTCATTCCCCCCCCCCCTCTTTGAGGGCCCTCTTTGTTAGCGATTCAGTTCTACACCACTGACTGCTAATATAAAGTTATGTAAAATTTTAATGCCAATAGCTCAGGGAGTGCAGTGCTGTGGGAAGCTCTTTTTGATTGGAGAACTGAAAGCAATGGCCAAAGGCCCAAGGAAAATTTTAAATTTAGAGTCTCTGAAATGCCATTTCCTGAACTTTGGGAAAGATTTGACAGAATTCCGATGGTCAGAAAACAGCATTTTAGTATGTCGAAATTTACAATTTCAAACAGCCCCCCCCCCCTGGTTGCTACGGCCCTGAGGTGAAATATAACCACTGTCTATCGCATGCATCAGTTAGGTGCAAAAAGCTAAATTCCGCACCAATAATCCAATATATGCGATTGTCCATATCATATAACCCTTTAAGTGACAATGTACCCTCATGTAACCTACTTTATTATTTTACTGTGTCTAATGCCAAGGATTTTACTCATCAGGGAGAGAGTGCTGTCAATCAATGGGTTAATTCACAAGCGACTCCTTAGTCCTTAACTGTCTGATAAACAAGTTAAAATAAAAATACACAAATCTGTATTTATCCTAAAATATGAATAAGGGGCTATTATAGCCCAAGGCCCAAGTATGTACACTTGTGCCACAGTGCCAGCATAAAATGGGCTATTTCAGCTTTCAATTCTGCTGGAATGAGGTGATAAATTTTTAGCTTTGGAATTCCTCAGGGATAAGCAAATTTCTGTGTGGAATTCTTTGGGGGTAATCCGGTAATGGATATATTGAATGAGATTTTCTCAGGGGTCAAATGTAAAAATTGAGATTCTTCCAGGGTCTCTCTTCATGGGTATTAACAGGAATTCTTCAGTGGATCTCTTTTATGACCTGTAGGAATTCTTCAGTTCAGCGATATGATGAACTCTTGTGCAACGGACCTGATTGTGAGATTCCACTTCATTGAAAGGACGACCTTAGGGACGGACCATTAGAAAACCGATGGGGGGGGGGGGAACCCAAAAAAATTTATTCCCAGGAAAAAATTAGGGGAAAAAATCTTCCCAGGCATAGTGCAAAAAAAATTCCTTTCTTGGAAGATAGGCCTATAAATTTTAATAAAAAAATATATTTCCAGCCATCAAGTGAGAAAAAAAATTTCTATAGGTGTACAAAAAAAAATATTGCCTCTTAGAAAATCCCCCCCCCCATCACTTTTCTAATGGTCCGTCCCTTAGTTAATTAAATTTGCTGTATACATTATGTCGCAACGTGTCACTATTTAATAAACTTATGTACAATTACAAATCAAGCCCACAAATCGTTGGATATACTCTTACCGCTCGTTGCAAATCACGCAGGCGCCTATTTAAAAAGCCCCAGCAACTTAACGCTCGAGAGAGCGTCTTGTTTAACACAAGTTTGATCCTTTTTCAGATAAATCCATACCATTTGTGGCTGCGTCGACACCAATTGGAAAAAGCATACCTGTAGATATGCCAAATTTATGTCTAACGCCAATTGCTGATCAGGGGGACAATATGTAAGTCAAAATAACAAATTAAAGAAAATAAATATTGTGTCTTGGAGTGTTAATTTCACCACGCAGTTTAACATGAATAAACATATATACTTTACTAATAGGTTAACCTTGCCTTTCCACTAAGTGTGGTTAATAGGCAACGGTGAATGTTTTATAAAAGTATGGTAGGTTGTCCAAAAATACTTCCTAATTTGAATTTGATTTATATTGTGTACTTTATCATAAAGCCATGAGTGTTGCATCAACATCAATGCCAGACAAAAGTAGAGTAGAAAGCATTTCAACATCGGTGAACCCAGAATTTGGACTCTATGCAGATGACCCAGGATTTGACAGTGATACATCAAGTTGTGCACATGGTAGCAAGTCAATGTAAACATCATTTGGGCTTAAACTTATTATCATAAAATTTACTCCCTGAACAGCTGAGTAACTTTGAATAATAGATGTTACTAAACTGTGGTTAAAGGGACTCTACAGCAGTAGCGTAACAAGCCCGACGATTTAGTCCCGCTATGTAAATATTTTCGTGTTGATCGACTGTGAAAACAATCAATTTCTAAAGAAATGAATAATGATAATAATTTTGAATTTACATAGCGGGACTAAATCGTCGGGCTGGCTACGCCACTGCTCTACAGTCATTTTTTTAGTGGAAAAGCCACCATCACTCCACGGAGATTCGTTTGGCTGTATCACATGCAGTATCCATGAGTATGAGTACTTCCGCACACCGGAAGACGCTTGCATGCCGTGATGCGCATGTCAAGTAGCGACAATAACAAAAAATGTAAACAACACTTACTTGACTAAAAAAATACTGTATGTACTATGTGAACCAATTAATGCAAATTATGCAATACATAATATTTCAAGAACATTTTATCAAGTGCAACTCAGTATTAAATATATTATCATTTTTTAACAGTTTATCCAGAAGTACATCAGATAATGAAACAGATGTTCATTTTTTTGAAGAGTAAGGACAAGAAATTAACCTTTGTTATTACCTTGCATTTAACCATTGCATTTATGAATGCCAGTAGATATAAGTGCTTGTATGTATATATGCAGTTCACATAAATCGATATAAGGCAAAGGTTATTTTAGTTATCTTGTTTCTGACTGATCGAGCAACAATATGTTGTGAATACACTTTTAGGAAGCAACTCAACAAGTTGTACGGTAATAATATAGTTGTTGTTTCCATATTTTTTTATGTTTTGTGGGTTTTTAAAGCTCATTATATTATAGGTTTTTCCTTTCTTTAATTTATATACTTGATATAAAGTTTGCAAAAGAAGAGTCATGTGTTATATATTTTATCACCATGCAATCATACCGAGAACTTATAATTACTTTGCACAAATTTTAGGCAGCTAAAGCAAAGCATTGTGAGGTGATCAGTGAGTAGACAGAAGCTATCCAGAATCACTTTTGGTTTTTGTGCCAAAATTGCAATGGTGATGAAGAAAAACTAAAGGTAATTGTTTTTATTTGCAAAGATATCATGCAATTTTGCAATGATATCATAGGCTATTTTTGTTCCATATTTCTTTCGGCAAATATCATGAATACAAGTACCAGTATTTATTTTGGATGTGTATACTATGATTATTTTATTTTTCAATGCAGTCTTTCATTTTTTAGGACAGTTGGCTTGGGGTTTTGCACCAGATTGCTGGCAAGCATGAGTGGGTAGATGGGGAGTGCGAGCACGAGCCATTAGTGGCAACTGAAGTGGACAAGGCGCACTTGAATAAAAACTCCAAGGACTTTGAGACTCTCCGAAAGGTGATACTCGCTACAAAATTTCTAAAAAGTTTACCCAAATACGTCACATTCAGGTATGTTTTAGTTATGAGGAAAATGTGAGTTTCTAATGCACAAAGTACTGTAAAATAGAGTTTTTTGAGTGCATATTGATTCATTACCTCTCTACTAATCTCCATAATCCATAGGCACACAAGCAAACTGGAGAAATTCAACTCCATGCTATTGAAATATGCACGAAAAAGAGTGGGATTCCAGTAAGTAAATTTTCAAATTAGTAATGGCATTATTGTGAAACACTAACCACTACCGTGAAACAAATTTAAAAATAAATTCAGTATTAACCTTTCATTATTGTAAAATTTTTAATTTTGCTATAGAAATAAAGCTTTTGCTGGTCGAACCTATCTCGCAGCTATCGGCCACAACTCGCACACATTTCGTAAAGCAACAATTACAGATGATGGTAAACCTAAATACAACAAGGTTTACAGCAAAAGAACTCAGAATTGGAGAATAACAGCAGTTAAAATGCCAAAGACATACAATTTTTGGTCCACTTTAGCAACACGAATTTAAAAAACTCAGAGATCCTAAGGAGAGTGCAAAGTTGATATGACAAATGATAATTAAGATTTGTGCCATTTGCTGATTCGCATAATGATTAATATATGAAATAGGATTGATGCATCTATAAGGAAGTTGTTTGAAGGCGTTTGTTTTTATATATTACAAGCCACGACAGTAAATTTTGTTGTTTTCGCATGGATAATTTTCCATGGCTTAATTCCTTGAATGGTTGCTTTAGTCCAGTCTTTTTTCTTTGTTTTTAATAATTAAATTTCTACCTATTTTCTGTTGTACATTTACACCCGTTTTCAACATTACGCGACCTCCCTGAAAAATACTTTGCTTCAAATGTCAGTTTTATGTCACAAAAACTGCTAAAAATAGCAAACGTAAACCAACAGTCAAAAAGACATTTTAAACCGTATTTAATACCAAAACTGAACAAAAATGAGTTAGAGTAACTTAGATATACAAACTAAAGCACAACACAAACCATCACAACAGAAATATGTACCGTGAATAACCGTAACAAAAATTTAAACAATTCCGTATAAAACACGCGCACTAGACTATAATGGTGATGTCATGATTTTGTTTGTGCTTAAATTTTGCAATAATTCTCACTAAAATATCTTGAAAATCACTGTAAACCTGTTTATATAAAGTAGTAGGAAAACGCCGATTCTGGCTCAGTAGGCTAATACTTCATGTTATACAAATTATAGTGGATTTACCCACCCCCTCCCACGCACCCGATGACGTCACTTCCGGTTTACCGCAAACAGCCTTGTTCGAACTTGCCTGGAACTATGACGTCACCGCCAGCCCCCCGCCGCCCCCACGCTTGGGGTAGTCTAGCCGCCCCCACGCTTGGGTCTAAGTCTTCCCTAAGTCTTCCCTAAGCCTACCCTAAGTCTTCCCTAAGTCTTGCCTAAATCTTCCCTAAGCCTTCCCTAAGCCTACCCTAAGCCTACCCTAAGCCTTACCTAACCCCACCCAAAACCTACCCAAAAACTCCACCACGCATGCGCAAACCCCACCGCCCCTCGTCTTGGGAAGTCTTCAATAAGTCTTCCATTGCGCAGATCTGGATCGTGTGATATATGACGTCACTTCCGGTTGAAAGAAAAAAAAGTTGAGTCAGCAGTTTTTGAAAAAAAAATTGTATATAATAAAAAAGGTATCATTTACTTCTCTTGTCCACAGACCCTTGAACCTTGGACCAGTCATCTTTCCTATTTCCAAACCCTTTGGGTTTGAAAAAAGGCTGAATCAGCATTTTTGAAAAAATTTTTTTCTTCTATATAATAAAGGGAAAGATGACTGAAGGTTATAGGAAAGTCACAGACAGAATAAGAGGGTGGTACAACTGGCTAACCACCCACGTGTAGCCCTGGGAGCCATTAGAATAATAAATCATATGCGTATAGAATATGTAATCAAGCTGCGAGAGAATAAAAGGCGATAATCAGAGAGACACTGAAGCAGAACGAACGAACTCGTGTTGAAGTAGAACCGATTAAGGAGTGGTCTACACACTGATAAAATAACTTGATAAAGTAAAACGAAAGAAAGATACGTTATCAACGTCGCACTTTACATTATATGGGAAAGGTGGGGTCTTCAATGATCAAACGCTCTGGTATAGTCTTTAGTGACTTGAGCAACACACTCAGCTGTAAACGTGTGAAGACGAAGTTATTTGGAGATCGGTGTACTGGAATTGTAAGCGGGGACTGTTATCAAAACCCTGGTAAACTTAACGAGCGTGGGTCTTCAATGATCAAACGCTCTGGTATAGTCTTTAGTGACTTGAGCAACACACTCAGCTGTAAACGTGTGAAGACGAAGTTATTTGGAGATCGGTGTACTGGAATTGTAAGCGGGGACTGTTATCAAAACCCTGGTAAACTTAACGAGCGCTCTGAAAATCGGGATTGCTAGGACTAGCTGAAGAAACAACGGGAAGGAATAACTCGCCAAAGGACGCAAGTATCGTAGCTTGAGAAACAGTTAACAACAATAGTATAGGATTTACACTGTGATAGTTTTAGTTTTTAGTTATATCAAACAAAATATAGAAAAATATATTTAAATTGTTTTTTGTATATGAAGTTATATTTGGCGACACCCACACATGCGGTTTAAATTCGTCACACCACGTACCATCATTCTTCAGGAAAGGCGTGCCAGACACTTTCAACACCATGCGGAAGAAGGTTGTAAAACTGTGTAGCGGTAAAGAGGAAGAGGAAGACCAGTGGTACGACTCAAGGGAGAACTTTAGTGATGAGGATGAAGAGTGATACGACGCCAATCCGGAAGAGAACCTAAAACCATGCATCCTAACCAAGCGCGGCATAAAGGAGAGGGTAAAGAAGTATGTCATCAATCCTAACGGATCGTACGATCCGGCTTACTTCCTCCATATTACAAAGGACGAGGTTGAGACGCTTATAAATTCTGAAACAGAACCGAGGAATGTTAGCATGTCCTTAGCATGTGAGATGGTCAGGAACGATCCGAAAACCGAGGAAGAATTATCCGTCATCGCACACTTCAGATCGAAAACCCACAAACTCATTGGTATAGAGTATAGATGACACGGAAGAGTCTCTTAACACCATGAAGGAAAAAATGTTAAAATCCGAATACCAGAAGAGTGGTAGTGGGTGGAGACTTCGGAGGACGGATCTGCTCGAAATCCATATCGGAGAATACCAGCCGTTAAGGGGAAAGGGTTACGTACCATTATCCGAGACGATCAGGAAGAAGAAAGCAATCATTAAGATGAAGAACGAAGACGACGAATGTTTTAAGTGGGCTGTGGCCCGCGCACTGAACCCGGTCGAACACAACTCCGAAAGGATTACAAGGATGCTTAAGGAGCAGGCTGACGAACTAGACTTGGAAGGGATAGAGTTCCCAACACCCTAACCTGAAGTTCAGGCCCTAATTTGAAATAGGGCCTGACACAAAACCTGTCTAGACCGTGAGACGCCCACATGTTATTTTTAAACACACATGCAATATGATTGACAAGTGTTGTAGATTTCCGTTACACAAAAAAATTATATTCTCATGAACATGTCCACAGAGCATTTTGCTTTTTAATTAAACTTAAAAATTCAAGGTACTTTTATATAATTAAGAGTCAGTTTCTCAATTTGACCCAACAGGCGAACAGCAAACAAAGACTTAATTAGTCAGTTCTATGCACGGCTTGACTGCCAAGCTTTTTCAAGGTCTCAACTTGCTGGACGCGGATATGCTCTAACGACTAACGGGCTAATAACAGCAACAATTAAATTCTCAATCATACCACGAAGAAGGCGATGTAGCTCAGAAAACAACGCCGGTAGGACCTGATATTAAAAATAAGACTTTTGCCGGCGAACAAGTTGGCAGAACATCTTGGCTGTCAACAACAAGCTTTCGAATACAGGACTGAGTTTGGCTGTTCTTTCAGCGTCGTGTGTGTCCAAAATTCGTCAAAGATTTTGATGAAGCCCTTTCAAAATACTGTTTGTTTGATTTATTTTCTTCCATAAAGCATAAAAGAAAAGAAATTCGAAGAGATCGATAACGGAATTTGTTACGTGCGTTTGACCTTTATATTAATTCTCGCCTTGACCGAGCTATTTTTAAAACTGTTGTTTATGTGAACTTGCAACCAATCAAAATCCTTCATGACGCTGATCAACCAATCAGATTTCCCGTCCACCAGGTGGACGGGAATCCCACACTTTAGATAGGTTTTGTGTCAGGCCCTATTCTGTGATAGGGCCTGAACTTCAGGTTACCAACACCCCTAAACAATATTAAAAAGTTTGAAAAGAACAACAACATCGGTGTTAACGTGTTTGGGCTTGACCCCATAAACCTCTTCCTGTGGAAGAACCACTACAGTGTCATCAAGAATGACAACCAGCTTCTAGAACAACCAGTTTCTAGAACAAATTATGGGCTAACCCGATTCAAAACAAAAGCTTCCAAAATATGGGAAAAAATTCCTATACAGATTAAATCTTTGCCATTTTATAGTTTCAAAAAACAGTATAAAATGTTTTTACTTAATAGTCAAGTAGAGTTACATGACAGATTTGACTAGACTTACTGTATATGTTATTAAAAAAATGATATTATAGTAATCTCATATATAAAATAAGTTTTTTTAAATTATACTATGCACTTAGAAACCTTAGCAATAAATACTATAGAGCTCAACTTTTTTTAATTTAGTTTTAAATACTCAAATATAATCTCATAATGGTAGTGGTCAACTCGAAAGCTTCTGCTCCTTTGACCACTACGCACTCTTCATCTGTAAATACATATTATGAAATATAATGTAAATATATATAGTATACTAGTAATACACAATCTTGTAAGAAAGAAATAAGTGCAAATAAAACTGATTCTGATTCTGATTCTGGACATGTCGACATGGTCAACGACCATGGACATAAGAAACACATCTGCAACCGTTGGCTCAACGCATTCGGATCGAGCGAACTTTTGGAAAGACATCTGAAGTTTTGTTCGAACAATAACTATCAGAGACACGAGAATCCAGAACCCGATACGTACCACCACAGAGTTTAAAAATTACGAAAGAACACAAACCGTTCCGTTTGTCATCTATGCGGACTTCCAATGCTACACCGAAGGGGTGGACACGCTTGAGAGAAACCCCAACAGATCAAGTACCACTCAATACCAAAAGCATAGCCCAAGCGGATTCTGCTACTACGTCAAGTGTTTCGACAATGCCATTTACGGACCCAAGCTGGTACACTATACCCAACAGTACGAAGGAGAAGACGTTACCAAAAAGTTTGTGGATATGCTGGAAGAGGAAGTTCATGATATATACAACAGGTTTAAATTCCGGGAACCTGTCAGAATGTTCTTCGAAGATACCATAAATTATGAAAGGGCAACTGTCTGTTATGCGTGTGGAAAGGAATTCACTACGAAGGACACAAGGTTAGGGATCACTGTCATTATACGGGATCACTCTCATTATAAGTCACAATACGTGTAATTTGAGAATGAGGAGGTCAAAATTTATCCCGGTACTTTTTCATAACCGTGAGGGATACGATGCTCATTTATTTATCAGAAACCCTGGGGTAAGTAGTGGAGACATCAAATGTATTATCAGAACGGAGGAGGAGTACATTTCCTTTACTAAGGAGATAGAGGTTGCTAGGTTTACCAACGAAGAAGGAAAGGAGAAAAAGGTCGAGCTAAGGTTCCACGACTCATTTAAATTCATGGCAAGCTCCCTGGACAAGCTCGTCAAGGGTTTGGGTAAGGACGACTTCAAAAATTTGGATTTGATGTTAGGTCGTAAAACTAAGGAACAGAGGGAGTTGCTCAAACAGAAGTGTGTATGAATATATGAATGGTTTTGAGAGGCTCGAAGAAACATCGCTCCCGCCGAAGGAGAAATTTTTCAGCGAAAACATCAGCGACACGGATTATGAAAGTGCCTTGAACGTATGGAATACCTTCAACATGAAAACCATGAGGAACTATCACGATGTGTACCTGATAACGGACATCTTCCTCCTCACAGACGTGATGGAAAACTTTAGAAAGGTTTGCAAGACCAACTACGGGTTGGATCCAATGTGGTACTACACAGCACCCGGGTTGGCATGGGACGCTGCGCTGAAGTTGACCGGTGTGGAGCTGGACCTTATATCCGATCCGGATATGTACCTATTTATCGAAAAGGGTTTTCGAGGCGGAATGAGCACCATTACCAAAAGGTATGCCAGTGCAGATAATAAGCATATTGAACTTTCCAAGAACCTAACCCGGTTGGAAAGGTTTAAAAAGTGAATAGGAAGAAAGCTTTCCAATCTATCAACCGTAATCATATCAATGCTTAACATGGTTATCACAATTATTACCGGTGCGAAACTGGTGGTTGGTCGCAACGATGAAGAGCGGTCCACATACCTTCCCTATACGAACGCGAACAACCTGTACGGATGGGCAATAAGTCAACCCCTGCCCATCAAGGACTTTAAGTGGATGGACGACAGGGAACTGGAGAAGTGGACAGACTACAGCTGTATTCTCAAAGTGGATATGGAATATCCGGACGACTTACACAGCAAGCACAACGAATATCCCCTTGCACCCGAAAAAAAAAATTAAGAAAGTGGAAAAACTCGTTCCGAATCTCAACGGCAAGGAAAAATACGTCCTTCACCACAATAACTTAGAACAGTACCTGAACCTGGGGTTAAAGATCACTAAGATTCACCGCGGACTGAAATTCTACGAAAAGCCTTGGATGAAGGAATACATCCAACTCAACACGGACCTGCGTACCAAGGGTACTACAGACTTTGAAAAGGACTTCTTTAATTTAAGCTTATGAACAACTCGGTATTTGGAAAGACGATGGAAAATGTTAGGAATAGGGTCGACATAAGACTTGTTAATAACGAGGAGAAGTGGAACAAGTTGGCGCAAAAGCATAATTACAAATCTGCAACCATCTTTTCCGAAAACCTAGTGGCAGTTCATATGATAAAGACATCCGTTAAACTGAATAAACCTATATACTTAGGGATGAGCATCCTTGACATCAGTAAGACCCTCATGTACGACTTTCACTACAATTACATTAAACCAAAGTATGGGGATGATGCCAGACTCCTATTCACGGACACGGACTCTCTGTGCTACGAAATCAAAACCGAGGACTTTTTCAAGGACATATCCGAAGATGTCTACGAAAGATTCGACACCAGCAATTTAGGTAAGGACCATCCGTCCGGAATCCCAACGGGTGTAAACAAGGAGGTTATCGGGATGATGAAGTTGGAAACGGGTGCAAGGCAAATTGAAGAGTTTGTGGGATTAAGGTCAAAGCTATATGCTTACACAATGGCGGAGAGGAGAAAAAGTGTAAGGGTGTCAAGAAAGTAGTTATCAAAAAAGAAATAACATTCGAAAATTATAAGGAATGCCTCTTCAGCGGTGAGAAACAATGGCGTGGAATGAATGTTTTCTGAAGTAGGTTACACGAAATATATACGGAAAGGGTTGTTGAGGTAGCCCTATCAGCAGACGACGACAAGAGGATAATTATGAATGATGGAATCCACACGCTGGCAATCGGACACAAAAGCCTAAGACAGTAGAAACCGATTTTAATATTCGAAGGAACATTAAAATTCCGGAGGGTCTACAGTAATTTTGTAATTACAAATCCAGACCCCAATCCCAATATTCCGATCGTAATCTGTTGGTATTCTTCCATTTCGCTCGATGGTTTGTAGTAATCGTGAATCGTTAATTTGTTCCTTATCCAGGGTCAGTTCCTCCTGTGCTTTCCGCAGGGAGTCAAGAGCACGGTTTGTCGTTTCCATATCCGATTTGGCGTCGGTTAGTTCCTGTCTGAGTATTGCAATTCTGTTCTTTTTTCCACTTAATTTTCGTACCATTTTTCCTTAGCCTTGGCTAATTTTCCCAGCGCTTTGTTGTGTCTTTTCATTTTGCCTTCGTATCCACTGTGGTTTAATTTGCTGAACAGGAATCCGGCTCCTGCAAATGCTACAGCATTGAATAATCCTCCGACTACAACACTTGTCATCTTCTTTTATTATAGTGGTTTATTTGAATGGATCATCCGGTACTAGTTTTTTGAACTGTAGGTAGTGAACTCCAATCGCACCGACTCCAATGGCTACGGCTAGTTTTAGAATTCCTTTCGGATTGCTAGGTACTCCGAGACTATCGCCCGCAATTTTTTTGCTTACCACTGACACAGCGACTGCTCCAAGCGTAATAAGTCCGGCGTTGAAGGCTTCGTTCATAAAGTCCTTTCTATCTCCCATGTTTTATTATATGTGTTCTTATTTATTTTTTCCTTTTCCTGTATTCATTATACAGGAAGTAAGTTAATGCTAAGGCTAAAATCCAAAGATTTTTCGCCAGGATCGCAATACCCATGACAGAACCTTAGCGATTAGGTTTAGTACGGATCCTAGTACGGGTCCAACCTTTCCAACCAGGTTTGCCGTTGCTTTTGCAAACTTACTCGTTGCTCTCGCTCCCTTTTTTGTTACGCTTCTAGCCCACATAATAATAGTGGTGATGATACCCGCCACGGATATTGCTACGACTGATATTCCGGCTATATTGTCCTTTGCTCATTTCTTAAATCTTTCGAATCTTATAAGATCGCTTATTTCCACCTCCTCTTCCACGATGGACAAGGCTTTCTGTCCTTTTGGTCGTTCGTTTGATCTTAACCTTATTTCATCCGCTTTCAATTCTGCCATGTTTGCCATTGCTTCTTACAGGAGAGCCTTTTGTTCACGTCCTGCAGTTCGTTCGGTTTTGGCCAGTTCTTGCCAATGATTTTTTTCTGCCTCAAGATGCTCAATTTTTTGCTTACCCAAGTTTCCTTTTACGTTCAGAATACCTCTCGGTTCCCTTAGTTCGTTTTCCGTTATAACTGTACTATTACCGATGGCTTCACTTTGAACAGACAGTTTGTCATCCATTCTTTCAACGATATTTTCCAGTACGTAATCCACAAGTTCCTGAGATCTTAAATGGATCGAGTACGTTGATTATGTCTGCAAGAAAGCTTCGAAGCCATTGTATGCCTTACGATTACTTATATAAGAGAGCCTCTATACCAGCGAGCAAGTTAGTCCTGGTTTTTACTACCTGCGTTCGACCAATCTTAGAATTTTCGTGCAAGGTATGGCACTATAGCTTGGCGCAATACTTGAGCGACAAGATCGAGAGTATTCAACGGAGAGCCCTTCGTATAATCTTTCCTGATCTCAAATATGAAGATGCGTTGGCACGTGCTGGGGTGGTGTCACTGTTCCTGCAGAGAAAGACCATTTGCGAGAAACGTTTTGCTCAAATGTGATGAATCATCCCATAAACTCAATTCTCTCGTTCCCCCAAGACATAAAACAAGATATTCTCTACGTAATGATAATTGTCTTTAATTTAAATACCAAAGCATAGGACAAGTAGGTTTGCTAAGAGTTTTATTATGGCCGGTAGTAAGGCCTACAAATCCAGTTTTAAATATTGATTTTTTAGCTATATTCTTACCTAGAACTATCACAATTAACAACTTGTAAATAAGGTGTGTTTGTAGACATTTTTACTCGTATGCATGTAAACCAGTGTATTTCAGTTTTTAACTGCAAAATTGGTATCTTTTAATAAATTAAATTAAATTGAAAAAAGCCGGCTCAGACGCACCCTCCGGCTACAGGCCACTCAACGTGACAAGCCAGGCCCACTGTAATACTATGATCATCAACTACCAACCGCGAATAATGACGTGCCAATAATAGCGAAGAAATTATATAGTCCTTGATTTTTAATGCCGTTATATGGCTAGTTTCAGGTGCTAAAAAGTTCGTAGACGTAGACGATTCTTCTAAAAAATACGCCAATTTGCTTCCATTTATAAGATAAACTGATCCCAACCCAAAGCCTTTCTCTAACTCCAATCAGTAAACATCTAATAAACAATTTGAGAATTAAAAGAGTGGGGAGGGTGAAGTTGGATCATGTTCCAAAAACAAATCGAACCGTATCACGTTTCAATTCGCCGCACGCAACGCCAACTCGCTGAATACAATCGAAAACATACATTTTACAGTAATATATGATGGAATAGAAAGTAATTTGGCGCAAATTAATGTAATTAGGTGCAAATTTATAATTATGCAAATAAATACAAGAGCACAACGTATGTTTATGAGCCTACAACGTATATTTATAGTTGTAAATTAAAAAATCAAACTGTCAAACCTTTAACTTGTCCTTGTTTTCTTCCACTATATTGTATAAATTCGCTGGGTCCAAATTTCGGGGTTTTCGAGTCGTTACACAAAGAAAGGCCAGAGTGCGACACACCGTAAAATCCATAGGAAACCGGCAAAATTCTTTGAAAATTCAACGAAACTGTGTGAAATATATATTAGATCGCTCAGTGAAAAGCCGCCATTTTGAAACTGAACTGAATATGTCACTGGAGCACGTTGCAACCTGAGCCTGCGATGACCTAACGCAAACTCCATTTCTTGTCGAAAACAGAAAAAGAGGGATTTAGGACACTGGCCTACAGGCCATTGTAATAAAACATATGTTTAATACAAATAAAACAAATTGTTAGGTAATTTCAATTCAGTCTTCAAATCAATTTGTTCTCCTTTACATTTTAAGATTTTTCCCAAATTAAACGGTAATTTATGAAACTTAGAACTTCGTTGAAAAGGAAAACAGTTCATGTTTTTAGGCAATAATTTAAAGCAACAAAATTCATAAACATTAAATATTCAAAGCAAACTTGCCGTATATTTCACGCTTCCCAACAGTAAATCAATTCTTCTCATTTCTTCAAACAAAATTGCTTCAAGCTTGTTGTGTATAAAACGATTTTCCAAATATATGTCTTTTAAAACTGAAATCTTGCTGATCCCACTCCTACATGCAATCAGCCATATTTTTGAGATCAGTAAGGATGACCACCCACTCAACATCTTTAGCGACCGACGTCCGCGCTCATTGATGAACTTTAGACTTGGCTAATGCTTTCGTTTCCCCGGGTGTAAATAGCCAGGGGAAATTAATATCCTCGCACGGCGCTTCGCACCGTCGGCTCGGGAATGACTCCAATCTTGCCCTTCATTACAATTGCTACTAGGAATACATGCATGCAACAACCCCTCGCCTATATTTTCCTAACATTGTTTCAACATGAAGTATTCGTAATTACGCCAACACTGAACGCAGGCTCGCGTTGCACGTCATGTTAGTCATGGCAACACGAAATTGTTTTTTTT